AATAAGGAATATTAGAAGTAGAGTATAGAGTCCATATAGAAATATAATTAAGAAAAAAAATAGAAATTCGGAATTAAAAAAATAAGGAATATTAGAAGTAGAGTATAGAGTTTATATAGGAATTTAAAATTAACCTAAACTTTGGAATAAACATAATAAAATTAAAGTAGAGTTTAGAGTCCGTATAAAAATACAATTTACAAATGGAAGAATAACCTAGAGTCTATATAGAAATGCATTTTACAGATAATGAAAATTCAGAATTAAAAAAAAGAAATATTGAAAGACGAGTCTAGAGTCCATATGGAAATATAATTTACAAATAACTAAAATTTAATATTAAAAATAATTAATAACTAACACGTATATATAATACAGTATAAATATTACACATGAGTAGTTTCGTAAAGTTAGTACAAAATTTAAAATTATATTATCATTTTAATATTTTTAAATAATACATTGAGAAAGCATATATGCTATTACTTAAGAGAAAATATAATGATGCTAGTCGCGTAATCTGTGCGGGCCTCCATGCTAGTTAATTTTGATATACCAAGATTTCTATTAGGAATGTTGCTGAGGAAAATAAAGTCAGCTCTGTTTGGACAACTAGGAGATAGAATAGAAAACACATTCCTAAGATACAGATGCACATCTCTGTCATCTTGGGGCTCTACATGGCAATTAGTATCTCTTTCATCATCAAGCAATCATAGGGATAAATGGGTTTTTAATTTTTCACCGAGACAATGCCATTGCTTCATACAAGACAATATATAGCCGCGAGCAGTACGTCGCCGGCCACGTGTGCCGCGCGGTGGCCGGACTAGCTGCATGCGTTACCAGTCAGGAGATTGTACTGGAGGAGGTGCAGTTGTTTCGATCTGATCGTTCATCTAGAAAGGGATGGCGAAGGTGTAGTGTGTCTTGCGGTGGCTTAAGACTGAGGATGGTTTGGATTCACATGGTTTATGTTTTGCATCTCTTGTTCAATTCTCGATTTGTTTCTACTGGGGTAGGTGAGGGGAATAAACAAGACTTTGTGAGACATCTAAATTGGACTCTACTGTATTTATTAATTTTGATCTACCAAGATTTTTTTCTAGGAATGCTGGTGAGGAAAATAAATACACCTTTTATCTGAATAAAAGAGAGAGATAATAGAAGGACATTCCTAAGATAGATATGATCATCTTCATCAATCGATCAATTGCAAACTAGATGCACATCCGTGTGCCTAATTTGGCGACTTTCTTTCTCATCTTGGCCGCCGGCGATGGCTGCGGCGACGCATGTGATGGCCATGCGATGTTGGAGAAGACACCATTGGGGAAGAAGGTTGTCATGACAACATCATGGGCTATCAACACCGACTTTTCTGGTTATGGCACAACTGTTGCGGTGGTGAGCTTAGTCGTCACCGGTGCCGGTGCCGGTGCAGCTACGGCAGAGGCAGCGGGTATGTATGACACCGGGAAAATCAAAGAATTTGGCTCTAGTGACGGTGCCGGTGCAGATACTAAATAAAAAGGGCCACCATTTTTATGCAACTTTGAGCTCTCATGTTATTATTGTAGAACAAAAGAACTCACACACAACAATAGATAACACATTAATTCATGTCAACATAATTAATGTGTGAAACACACAACATGATTGGGGAGTTCTAAACAAGACCAAAGTATGGGTAACACATTTTAAATTCGTGGTAAACAATTAACACGGAAAAGTGTCTAATTGACCAGAATAGGTTTCAATAGTTTTTGTTCAATCATAAGAAACTAGATAAACATGTTTGCTAAATTACATAATAGCACAGGTAAATTAAACCAGCGTCATTACAAGATGAATACAAACAACTTAGTAAATTGACTGATACATAGCACGTCAACTGAAGCTGGTGCTTTCTCTGAATCATCGTCTTCATTCGTAATTGGATGATGGTTCGTTGAGGTCAAAGTCAAACACTATCGGCCTCTCATTCCCAGCAGCACCTTGGGTCAACGAGGATGCGACATCGGTGGCAGCCTGAGCCGACGAGGAGGGAACGTCGATGGCAGCCTGAGCTGATGAGGAGGGGACGTTGATGAAAGCCTGAACCGACGAGGAAGGGACGTCGACAGCGGCTTGAGCTGACAACGATGCGACGTCAACGGCTGCCTGAGCCGACGAGGATGCATCGTCAGCAGCTAGAGACGACGAGGTGTCAACGTCGAGGAGCATTGACATCGAGCTCAGCAGCACGGGCTCGCCCTGCTCACCGTCGGGCACATCAGCGAAGAAGATGTTTGGATCAAAGTCCAGAGCCTCGTGGACGGCGTAGTTTGTCGGCACACCGCCAGGAGGGATCACCACCTGGAAGAAGGAATCGCTAGCCGCCGGCGGTGGCGGCGGCGGTGGCGGCAGCGCATGCGATGGCCCTGCAGTGTAGGAGAAGATACCGTTGGGGAAGAGAGTTGCCATGACAACTTCATGGGCTGTCAGAATCCGCTTTTCCGGTAAAGGCGTAGCTGCTGCGGTTGCAAGTTCAGGCGTCATCGGAGCCGGTGGCCGTGCAACTACGGCAGAGGCGGTGAGTGTTGATGACACCGAGGAAATCACAGCATTTGGTTCCAGTGACTGTGAAGGTCATGATACTAGATAAAAAGGGCACCAGTATCTTTATCCAGCAGCAGGACTTTCACTACTTTCCCAAGTAAAGCTAGTGTTAAGAGACTGGATTGTAGAAGTGTTGACTGACTTGACTGGAAATATAATATGGAAAGACTGATGGACTGACTTTATACAACTTTAAGCTCTCAGGTGATTATTCTTGATGATCAAAAAACTCACACACAACAATAAATAACACATTAGTTCATCTCAACATAATTAATGTGTGAAACACACAACATGATTGGGGTGTTCTAAACAAGAAAAAAGTATGGGTAAAACACATTATAAGTTCATAGTAAACAATTAACATAGAAAAGTGTCTAATTGACCAGAATAGGTTTAATATTTTTTGTTCGATCATAAGAAACTAGATAAACATGTTTGCTAAATTACATGATAACACAGGTAAATTAAACCAACGTCATTACAAGATGGATACAAATGACTTAGTAAATTGATGGATACATAGAAGATCAAACGAAGCTGGTGCTTTCTCTGAATCATCGTCTTCATTCGTAAGTGGATGCTGGTTCGTTGAGGTCGAAGTCAAACACTATCGGCCTCTCATTCCCAGCAGCACCTTGGGTCGACGAGGATGCGACATCGGCGGCAGCCTGAGCCGACGAGGAGGGAACATCGATGGCAGCCTGAGCCGATGAGGAGGAGACGTCGACGACAGCCTGAACCGACGAGGAAGGGACGTCGACATCAGCCTGAGCTGACGATGGTGCAACGTCAACGGCTGCCTAAGCCGACGAGGGTGCATCATCGGCAGCTAGAGACGATGAGGTGTCAACGTCGAGGAGCGTCGACGTCGAGCTCAGTAGCACGGGCACGTCCTGCTCACCGTCGGGCACATCGGCAAAGAAGATGTTCGGATCAAAGTCCGGAGCCTCGTGGACGGCATAGTTTGTCGGCACACCGCCAGGAGGGATCACCACCTGGAAGAAGGAATCGCTAGCCGCCGGCGGTGGCGGTGGCGCATGCGATGGCGATGTAGGAGAAGACACCGTTGGGGAAGAGAGTTGCCATGACAACTTCATGGGCTGTCAGAACCGGCTTTTCCGGTAAAGTCGTAGCTGCTGCGGTTGCGAGCTCAAGTTTTGCTGGAACCGGTGGCGGTGCAGCTGCGCCAGAGGCAGCGAGTGTAGAAGGCACCGGCGAAATCACAACATTTGGTTGCATTAACGGTGCAGTTGCTAGTGCTGATGCAGATGCAGGCACCAATGCCGGTTCTGTAGCAGGTGTGGGTGCCGACGGCGATGGAGTACCCACGGTCACCGCAGTCGGAATGCGTCCGCGTCCGCGCCCGCGCCCATTCCAAACTCCACGGCCACGACTAGCAAAGGTTGCCTCAGCAACACGCCCGCGTCCGCGTTCCGGTCCACCGCTTTTGGAGAGGGTTGAGGCTGTTTGGAGCTTCCTCTTCTTGGGTACAGGTGCAGCAGCTGCGGCTGCAACTGCAGGCGGCGGCATCGGGACCAGGATGGCTTCAGGCACCGCCGTCGGCGGTGCCACCGCCGGTGCAGCAGCAGAGGCGCCTGGCGCGAGTGTGGATGACCCCGGCGAAATAGTGGCATTCGGCTCCATTGTTGGTGCTGATGCAGGCACCGGCACTGGAGCTGCAGAAGGTGGCAGTGGAGCACCTGCGGTCACCACCGCCGAAGTAAGTCCGCATCCACGCCCACGCCCACGGTTTCCACCCGCAACGGCGGCATCGGCAACACGTCCGCGACCACGTGCACGTCCACGGCCGCGCTCTCCACCGCTTGCGAAGAGGGTTGAGGCTGTCTGGAGCTTCCTTTTCCTATCGGGTGCAGGTGCAGCAACTGCGGTTGCCGCTGCAGGCAGTGGCGGCGGTGGCGGCGGGATCGCTTCAGCTGCCACCGGCGCCGGTGCAAATGCGGCTGCAGCAGAAGCGCTGGCTGCGAGTGTGGACGACACCGTCGAGATCGGTGCAGGTGCAGGTGCTGATACAAGTGCCTTCGCCGGAGTGGCAGCAGGTATGGGCGCCGGCGGCGGTGGAGCACCCACGATCACCACCGTCGGAGCGCATTTGGTTTCGGACCCACGCCCATGGCCACGACCGGCAGCGTTGGCGATGGCAACACATCCGCGTCCCCGTCCAAGTCCGTGCTCTCTGCTGCTTGCAGAGAGAGTTGCGGGTGTAGCAGGCGGTGGTGCGAGCGCTTCAAGAGCCGCCAGCGATGGAGCCGGTGCCGGTACAGCATAAGCGGGCGCGAGTGCGGATGACGGCGGAGAAATGACAGCATTCGGCTCCACCGGCGGCGCAGGTGCATGCACAGCAGGTGTGGGCACCGGCAGCGGTGGAGCAACCACGGTCACCGCCGTCGGAGCGCATTTGCCTCCGCGCCCACGCCCACCACCGCCACCGCGCCCATGTCCGGTACCGACACCGCGGAGAAGTCCACGCCCACCACCAACACCGACACTGGCGCCGCGCCCGCTTCCCCTTCCACCAACAAATGCACCTTCATCAGATGTGGCACCGGAGCAACATCAGATGATGCCGGTGCGCCTGCACCGAAACCGGAGATGCATCAGATGACGTCAGCGCTGGCACTGGAGCCGCATCAAATGACGGCGGCACGGGCACCTGCACCATAACCGGAGATGCATAAGATGACGGCGGCGCTAGCATCGGAGCTGCATCAGATAACGGAGGCGCGGCCACCTGCACCATCACCGGAGACACATCAGACGAAGGCGGCGGCACAGGCAGCAATAGGAGAGGAGTAGGAGCCGGAGCCTCGTGGACGGTGTAGTTTGTCTGTAGACTACCGAGAGGGATCACCGCCAGGACGAAGGTATGGCTAGACGGCGGCGGAGGCGGTGGCGGAGCATGTGATGGCCCTGCAATGTAGGAAAAGGCATCGTTATGGAAGAGGGTTGCCATGACAACAACGTGAGTTGTCGGCACCGGCTTTTCTAGCAATGGCGCAGCTGCTGCAGTTGCGAGTTCATGCATCGTTGGAGCCGGTGACTGTGCAGCTGTGGCAGAGGCGGTGAGTGTGGATGACACCGGGGAAATCACAGCATTTGGTTCCAGTAACAGTGAAGGTTAAGATACTATATATAAAGGTCACCAATTTTTATACAACTTTAAGCTCTCAAAGTGATTATTCTTGATGATCAAAAGAATTCACATACAACAATAAATAACACATCAGTTCATCTCACAATAATGAATGTGTGAAACACACAACATGATTGGGGAGTTCTAAACAAGACCAAAGTATGGGTAAAACACATTTTAAATTCATGGTAAACAGTTAACACGGAAAAGTGTCTAGTTGACCAAAATAGGTTCAGTTGGCTTACGATAGTTTTTGGTCGATCATAAGAAACTAGATAAACATGTTTGCTAAATTACATGATAACACAAGTAAATTGAACTAACGTCATTACAAAATGTTAACAAATGACTAATTAAATTGATGGATACATAGCATATCAACAAGATCATGCAATAAAGCAAAATGGTCATGAGGGTCAAGTAAACCAAGAGATCTAGTTAAGGATGGTCCTTCTCGTTGTCTCCATCTCATTAGTAGATAATCCAGTTGATCGCGATAGACTCATCAATCCGAAGCTAGTGCTTTCTATGAATCATCGTCTTCATTCATAATTGATTGTCGGTTCATTGAGGTCAAAGTAAAACACTATTGGCCTCTCATTCCCAGTAGCACCTTGGGTCGACGAGGATGAGTCGTCATCGGTAGCTTGAGCCGATGAGGAGGGGACGTCGACGACAGCCTGAGCCAACAAGGATGCGATGTGGACGGCAGCCTGAACCGACGAGAGTAAGGGACGGTGACTGCAGCCTGAGTCGACGATGATGCGACGTCAATGGTAGCCTGAGCAGACGAGGATGCATCATCGGGAGCCAGAGACGGCGAGGTGGCTAGTAATTGGAAGGAGATTGACTTGCGAGATGATTCACCTCCATGGATTGTTCAATGGTGACGTCGGGCGGGTGTCAACACCGAGGAGCGTCGACATCGAGCTCAGCAACATGCGCTAGCTCATCCTGCTCACCATCAAGCATGTCGGCGAAGAAGATGTTCGATCAGGTCGAAGTCAGGAGCCTCGTGGACGGCGTAATTTGTCTGCAGACTGCCGGGAGGGATCACCGCCTGGAGGAAGATATTGCTGGACGTCGGCGGTGGAGACGACGACGCTTGTGATGGCCCTGCGATGTAGGAGAAAACATCATTGGGGAAGTGGGTTGCCATGACAACATCGTGAATTGTCAACACCGGCTTTTCTAGCAATGGCGCAGCTGCTGCGGTTGCGAGTTCAGGTGTCATCGGAGCCGGTGGTCGTGCAGCTACGGCAGAGGTGGTGAGTGTTGATGATACCGGGGAAATCACAACATTTGGTTCCAGTGACTGTGAAGGTGATGATACTAGATAAAAAGGGAACCATTTTGTACAACTTTGAGCTCTCAGGTGATTATTCTTGATGATAAACAAACTCACACACAACAATAAATCATTTGGTCGTTAACAATAACACATTAGTTCATCTCAACATAATTAATGTGTGAAACACACAACATGATTGGGGTATTCTAAACAAGACAAAAGTATGGGTAAAACACATTATAAATTCATGCTAAACAATTAACACAAAAAAGTGTCTAATTGACCAGAATAGGTTTCAATAGTTTTTGTTCGATCATAAGAAACTAGATAAACATGTTTGCTAAATTACATGATAACACAGGTAAATTAAACCAACGTCATTACAAGATGGATACAATCGACTTAGTAAATTATCGGATACATTGCAGATCACCCGAAGCTGGTGCTTTCTTTGAATCATCGTCTTCATTCGAAATTGGATGCTGGTTCGTTGAGGTCGAAGTCGAACATTATCGGCCTCTCATTCCCAGCAGCACCTTGGGTCGACGAGGATGCAACATCAGTGGCAGCCTGAGCCAATGAGGCGGGAACGTCAATGGCAGCCTGAGCCGATGAGGAGGGGATGTCGACGACAGCCAGAACCGACGAGGAAGGGACATCGATGGCAGCCTGAGCTGACGATGATGCGACGTCAACGGCTGCCTGAGCCGACGAGGCTGCATCGTCGGCAACCAGAGTCAATGAGTTGTCAATGTCAAGGAGCGTCGATGTCAAGCTCAGCAACACGAGCTCGTCCTGCTCCCCGTCGGGCACATCGGCGAAGAAGACGTTTGGGTCAAAGTCCGGAGCCTCATGTATGGCGTAGTTTGTCGGCACACCGCCGGGAGGGATCACCTCCTGGAAGAAGGAACCGCTAGCCACCGGCGGTGGCGGCGCATGTGATGACCCGGCAGTGTAGGAGAAGACACCGTTGGGGAAGAGTGTTGCCATGACAACGTCATGGGCTGTCAGCACCGGCTTTTCCGGTAAAGGCGCCGCTGCTGCGGTTGTGAGCTCAGGTATCGCCGGCACCGGTGGCCATGCAGCTACGCCAGAGGCAGCAAGTGTGGGCGGCACCGGTGAAATCACAACATTTGACTGTATTAACGGTGCAGTTGCTGATGCTGGTGCAGGTGTGGGCGCCGACGGCGATGGAGTACCCACGGTCACCTCAGTCGGAATGCGTCCGCGTCCGCGCCCGCGCACACTCCAAACTCCACGGCCACGACCGACAAAGGTTGCCTCGGCAACACGCCCGCGTCCTCGTCCTGGTCCACCACTTCCGGAGAGGGTTGAGGCTGTCCGGACCTTCCTCTTCTTGGGTACAGGTGCAGCAGCTGCGGCTGCGGCTGCAGGCGGCGGCATCGGGATCAAGATCGCTTCAAGCGCCGCCGCCGGCGGTGCCACCGCCGGTGCAGCTGCAGCTGCAGCAGAGGCGCCTGGCGCGAGTGTGGATGACACGACCGGCGCAATAATGTCATTCGGCTCCAGTGATGGTGCTGATGCAGGCGCCGGTGCTGGAGCTGCAGAAGGCGGCGGTGGAGCACCCACGGTCACCACCGCTGGAGTTAGTCCGCATCCGCGCCCACGCCCACGGCTGCCACCGGCAATGGCGGCATCGGCAACACGTCCGCGGCCGCGTGCACGTCCACGTCCGCGCTCTCCACCGCTTGAGGAGAGGCTTGAGGCAGTCAGGAGCTTCCTTTTCCTTTCAGCTGCAGGTGCAGCAGCTGTGCTTGCCGCAGCAGGCAATGGCGGCGGCGGGATCACTTCAGCTGCCGCCGGCGCTGGCGCCGGTGCAAATGCAGCTGCAGCAGAGGCGCTGGCTGCGAGTACCGGCGAGATCACAGAACTCGGTGCAGGTGCAGGTGCTGATACGAACGCCTTCGCCGGAGCTGCAGCAGGTGTGCGCGCCTGCGGCGGTGGAGCACCCACGGTCACCGCCGTCGGAGCGCGTTTGGCTCCGCTCCCACGCCCACGGCCGCGGCCGGCGACCGCAGCGTTCGCGATGGCAACACATCCGCGCTCTCCGCCGCTTGCGGAGAGGGATGCAGGTGCAGCAGGTGGCGGCGGCGCGAGCGCTTCAAGAGCCGCCGGTGCTGGAGCCGGCGCCGGCGCAGCATAAGCGGGCGCGATTGACGCTGGAGAAACGAGAGCATCCGGCTCCACCGACAGCGCAGGTGCATGTGCAGCTGCTGATGCAGGCGCCAGCGTCGGGGCTGCTGCACCTGCAGCAGGTGTGGGCACCGGCGGCGGTGGAGCAACCACGGTCACCGCCGTCGTCGGAGCGCGTTTGCCTCCGCGCCCACGCCCGCCACCGCCACCGCGCCCAAGTCCACGGCCGCCACCAACACCGGCACCGGCGCCGCGTCCCCGTCCACCAACAAATGCAGCTTCATCAGATCCAGATGACGTCGGAGCTGGCACCTGCACCGGCACCGGCACCAGAGCAACATCAGATGACGGCGGCGCGGGCACCTGCACCGGCACCGGAGATGCATCAGATAACGTCGGCGCTGGCACCGGAGCTGCATCAGATGACGGCGGCACGGGCACCTGCACAATCACCGGAGATGCATCAGATAACAGCGTCGCTGGCACAGGAGCTGCATCAGATGACGACGGAGGCGCTGCCACCTGCACCGTCACCGGAGACACATCAGACGAAGGCGGCGGCGCAGGCAGCAACAGGAGAGGAGCAGGAGCAGGAGCCTCGCTCGCCTCCGCCTCTGCCGCCGCCGCCCCACGTTCCTCCACCACACGCTCGCGGCGAGCTCGAGCTCGGTCGAAGAACGCTAGCATGGACCGCATCTCCGCCGAAAGCGGCGACGGCGTCTGCGCGGGATCGCCGAAGTTGGTCGCCGCCGCCTCCCCGCGCAGCACCCGCGCCGCCGCGTCGTACGCCCACGCCCCCTGCTCCGCCGTGTCGAACGTCCCCAGCCACAGCCGCCCGGCCCCCGTCGGGTTGTGGATCTCGGCGACATACCTCGTCCCAAACCTCACCCTCACCCCACGATACTTCGTCTCCGGGTCAATCTCCTCCCACTCCTCCGCCGCCGCCTGACGACGCCAGCGCCGCCGCTCCACGGCGGGGACGACGCGAACCTCGCCCTCCACCAACGGCGAAACCAAAACCTCCGCCGACGCCGACGACGACACCACCTGATCCCCCTCCATGACGGGCACAATCACGAGCTCCAACCCGGAACCGGCCCTCAACCTCTCCCTCTCCCCGGGCGACAGCAGAAATCCGCCGCCGCCGCCCGCGGCGGCGGCGCGGCGGTACTCGTTCCCCCGTACCTGCACGGCGAGGCGCGCCGACTGCTGGGAGTACTCCACCAGCAAGCCTTTCATCGCCTCCGCTACTCTCTCCTCCGGATCCATTCCTGCGACCTACTCGATCGAGACTCGTGAGAGATTGTGTGGAGAGAGAGGAAGAAGAGATCGATGGCGATGGAGATCGATGGATGGCGAAATGGGGGTGGCGGCGTGTGGGATTTAAGGAGGAGGAGAGGGGGGGGGGGGGAGCGTGTCCGGGCGTCGTCGCGGCGTCTTCAAGCCGAGAGCTAGGTCACGCTGGGGTTGCCTTTGCTGCCGTCGTCGCGTCGTCTTCAAGCCGTTGTGACGCACGCGGGCGTATGCGGACAGCTAGCGTGGGCTGTGCTTGCATGGCTGCATGCGTCAACCAGTGGACTCGATCCTCTGGTTTAGGGAAGGAACTTGAGGGGATGCGGTTGGTTCGATCTGGACCGTTGATCGTGAAAGGGACGATGAGCGGTGGTTAGCGGTGATGTTTTGGGTTGCCGTTTTGGCTTTTTTTTTTCTTTTTCTTTTTCTTTTTTGTGCGGGGAATATGTGCTTAGCCGGAAGCGTGAGGGTTTGCGGGGAATATCTCCTATCTTAATCTTCCTATCTAGCCAGCAGAAGGTTGTCAGGGCAGGTAATTAATGTGGTGGGGTTGTTAATGTGTTGCTAAACATGGACGTGCTGCAGTAATTAGCTGCCTAGATCAGCAAGGTTTGAAGGTTTAGCTTTGATGGATCAGGGCAGTACCGTTGATCGGATTGAGAACATAGTTTTCTTGTTTCCTTTTCTTTATGACTTATCGATATGCTTCCTCCTTATAAAGGATAATCAATTTCTAGCTATGAACATGGACAAGCATTTGTCCAAGTTCATATATAGCTGGGAATTGATTTTTTTCAAATGGAGGGTGTAGGCTGATGACTTGTATGTTTCTTTTTTTTTCTTTGTCCGAATTGCAATAGTGTTGAGAAAATTTGGGGAATGTGAACTAGGTGATGTATAAGTTGATTAATTCATGATCAAATAACGTCATAGTCGTGTTATAATGTTGTGTGTGTTCCATTATTTACAAATATAATCGATGTCGATTTATGCGTGTGGCACTATTAAATTATGTCCGTATACGACATCGATTCCTCATGCGCTTACTAGGTTTAAACACAATATTCTATGCCATCATCCTCTTCTCTTTCGTCCTACATTTATCCCCCTTTATAAATTTATTTCTAACCTATAAGAATCATCCTAAAAAAAGTTCATTTAGGGCCCCTTTGAAACGCAGGATAGGAAAAACATCTAGATTTTTCACATTTTGGTCCTTTTGAAAAACTTATTTCGCAAATAGACCCTTGAAAAAACTTATCCCAGAAATGGTCCTTTTTGGGGCGCCAGAGTGGCTGGCGCCGTCGTCCAACTGGACGGCGCCAGCCTCTCTGGCGCCCTCCCCCTGCCGACGTGGCGGGGCGATGCTGAGGTGGCTAGGGGGAGCGCCAGAGTGGCTGGCGCCCCCCCCCCCCCCCCACAAATTTTTTATTTTTCTTTTATTTGTTTGATATTTTTTTTTCACGCTTAGGGACAGGCAAGAACCAACCATAGAAAAATTGAACTCAAATGGACATAATATGTGACCTGTAGAATTTTTCCTCTCATCTCCTCTCTTCGAACTAGTGCAGAGGAGACAGATGTGCAAATTTTTTATTTTTATTTTATTTTTTTGATATTTTTTTCACACTTAGGGACACACAAGAACCAACCATATAAAAAATAAACTCAAACGGACGAAATATGTGGCCTGTAGAATTTTCCAAAGCTCTACCAAAAAACTTCTCTCCTCGAAAACACAATCTTGCAAGCGGAATTTGGAGGTTTTAGTATCGCCAAACCCGGCGTTGCCAGGGAGAATCGGATGTAACATTTTCTGTAGATTATTTGCCTGATTCCGAGTCCGTATGAGAAAGTTACGCCTATTTTAATAAATGACACCCGAATGACTTTTCGGTAGAGCTTTGGAAAATTCTACAAGTCACATATTTTGTCCATTTGAGTTTATTTTTTCTATTGTTGGTTTCTGTATTCTCCTAAGTGTGAAAAAAATATCAAAAAAAAATAAAAATAAAAAAATTGCATCTCTCTGTACTGTTTAACTTATGGCTATCATTTCATGTGGTTATATTTTGAATTAGAGATTAAGTAACTTCATATAGTGGTAGAGTGCATTATGTTTAACATGCTGATCAAAGGGTTTTACTAAAGAAGTTATGGTCTAATTTTGATGAAGGTGCAAAGTAGGCTAAGTGGTATGCTATTTTCGGATATCTAGCTAAGTGGTATATTCCGTTCGAGTTTAAATTTTTTTTGTTTTTCTCTAGTGGTTGGTTGTATCGTGATCCTAAGTGCGAAAAAACATCCGAAAAAATAAAACAAAAATAAAAAGGTTGCAACTCTATATAAAGAAATAGAAATGGAGGCGAGGGGTGGGGGGGAGGGGGGCGACGCCAGCATGGCTGGCGCCCTCCTCCCTAGGGCGGCGCCAGCCATGTTGGCGCCCTCCTCCTGCCACGTCGATTCGCGTGTGCCACGGTGGCAGGAGGACGGCGCCAAAGAGGCTGGCGCCGTCCCATTGGACGACGGCGCCAGCCACTCTGGCGCCCCAAAAAGGACCATTTCTGGGATAAGTTTTTCTAAGGGTCTATTTGTGAAATAAGTTTTTCAAAAGGACCAAAATGTGAAAAATCCGCGGAAAAACATAGGAATAGGAAAAACGTAGGAATTGGAGTGGCATATTTTCCTAATCCTACAGGAATGGAAAACACAGGAAATATGAAGAGAGTCCCTTTGATAGCACCATAGGAAACAAACAAAATAAAGGATAGTTTCCAAGAGGTTGAACCTCTTGCTTATTTTCCTATGAAATTGAGCTATAGGAATGCAATCCTAAGGAAAATTTCCTATACTTTCCTATGAATCAAAGGGTTTCATAGGAAAAAATCCTTAGGAAATTAAATCCTCCAAAATTCCTATGACAATCCTCTAATTCAAAGGGGCCCTTATATCTCATTACGCCTACCGTCGGCTGCAAACCGAGGAATTTTGCTTTGATACCCCTTACCTATCTATACACCAACACTACTTTTATATTAATTATGGTATAGAGAGGGTTGCATTGGCTATTCTTTGGTTTTGATTTTGTGCCTATTCATAAATTAAAATCATTCAAAATCATCTTCCATATCGGGATATGTATTTTTGTCCATAAAAATTTTATTGCTGGATTCTATGAAATCAAACACCACATGTATATCTCTGTCTATGTTGTGTATAACAATAATAAATTTGTTATGAAAGCCAACAAAATAAGCGTATATATCTATTCGCCATGGTACTATTGTAGGTCTATCTGCATATCTCTTCTAGAATTAAATAAGCATATCTCCTGTCTTATCTTCTAGTGTGTGATTTGGTTTGAATTTATTCTATAATTTTCAATACAGTTCTATTGCTACATATCGCAGTTAAATGATGATTAGGATGACAACCAACCATGTCATAAATAAGAGCTAGTAGTGCTAAAACCAAACGACCAATAATACATAGCTTTTGTCACGAACGAGCATTGTCCTACCAATTTTACTTCTTGATTCTAAATAAACTAGCTCACATAACAAAACTTGAAATTATATACACCAAACTGAAGAGGTGCCAAGAACAATGTATATGTGTATCTGCTCTTTTTTTTTATCAAGAGCAAGTTTTATATTGTTTGTTTGTATATATCCCCTCCTTATTGTTGTCTCACTCCTAACTTTTACTATAGTCTTTTTGTTAATGGAGCTAGCATTGCTGTATATATGTTGATTGCCGCTTTTTTCCTCCTCTTTTAGCGCATGTGTACTTCGCCGGAAGGGTGAGGCTTGCATGCGAGGAACATCCCGTCTAATAGTAGCCAGGAGATTGTGAGGGCAAGTAATTAATTAATGGAGATGCTCTGCAGTAACTACCTTCCTAGATCACCACCAAGGGTTGAACTATGGATGCTGCACAGCACGATGGGCAGATTTTGATCGATCGGAGAAATTGGTATATGTACGTTCTTATCAAGATGTTACTTAGCGCATATGGGTCTTGTCGAAACATGATTTCGGCAATAATAAAAGGGGTAGCGCACGAGACCTAAAAGTGGATGGATGCGGAGACAAAGGATTTAGACAGGTTCAGGCCCTCTCAATGAGAGGTAATACCCTACTCCTGTTTGGGGATTTGAATCCGCCGAGTGTGTATTGATCTGACGATCAGGTTGTCTCATCTGCCCCCTAGAGGGCCTCCTGCCCACCTTATATAGGACGGGGAGCAGGATTACAAGATAGAAACCTTAACCAATACGGTATCGGTTTCCTAAATCTACTTTACAATATTATCAAACCAGGACTTTAGGCCGTTCCGTAATATACAAGGAAACATAACACCCAAGTCATGATCTGTTACATATTACATAGATATAAGTTATCCCCTATAACTAGTCGGATAACCATGCCGTGTGGGTATGGGGTACCCATAATCTCCACAGTAGCCCCTGAGACCTTCGCAGTCGAAAAGATAATCTTCTCTCGAACCAGATTACTCCAAAGCCGAGTGCTTCAATCATCTTTGTCATGGTCTCCCGAGTACTTTTACCAAATCTGAAGACTGTGGAGGGCTGGAAAATAAAGTCAGGTGCACCGACTAGATGCACCTAATAGGTGTAGCCCCCGACAATGTGGTTAATTGAACAAACCAAGCATATAGTCAAGGAATAAATAATCCAACCAACCGAGTGGTTTTGATAATCGTAATCAACCAAGTGACTTGATATCAATATATAGCATATGCGGTGTGAACCCTCCAAATAACATGATCCGAGTGATATACCAACTGCTTTGTAAAATATGATGCGTACAACCTAAAGTTGACAACATCTTTGAAAGTTCACATAGCAAAACAACTATAAAGAAGCTTGAATGCTGTGAATAAAGAAATCTCCAAAGTATTGGGCATACGCCATGCGCACACTGCTTCAACAGATGTGCTTAAGTCCCTAAAAGACACATGGTTTCACCACACCTGGAAATATATGGCATATGTGGTATAACATCCGAGTAAGTAAACTCATAAAGGATTTACCAACCGCCTGAAAAATGACCATA